GCAGTAGGCTTAGAACGGATAACAGAAATTACTTCTTCACCCAAAGTGTCATTCACACGTGAAGTTCACTGCCACAGGAAGTGGTGGTGGCTACAAGCATAGACAGCTTCAAGAGGGGACTGGATAAACGAATGGAGCAAAAGTCCCTCAGTGTATAGAGGGAACCCTATGTCTGGGGCAGTGATGCTCCTGTATTTTGGTGCTTCAGGGGGCAACAGTGGGAGGGGTTCTGGAGTTCTGGCTCTGCTGCTGGACCTCCTGATGGCACCTGGGTTCTGGCTGCTCTGTGACACAGAGGGTTGGACAGGATGGGCCACTGGCCTGATCCAGTATGGCTTCTCTTACGTTCTCAGATTCCCGCTCACCCTGTCATCCCAGGAAACACAGAATCAAGTTCTCAGTCGAAGCACAATTTACTTGAGCCACAACAGGATAGAGGAAGCACTGTAGCCACCTCCCGTCTCCCCAAGAGGCGAGTGACCAACTCCTTCCCAGAGGCTTAAGTCCCTTCCAGCCCCTTGAGGCAAGAAACCATCTGCCACAGGAAAACACACAGATACAGAAAAGCCAGGTATACCTGTCCGCTCAGTGCGCTCCGATGCCCGGGTTCCTCCAAGACTGGCCGGCACTAGTCCCCTGCCCCCGTCCCCAGGGAAGAGGATTGACAACAATGACAACCCTGTGCTGTCAGGGGTCATTTTGTAAAAAAAGAGGTGCAGGAGTTCATTAGCATAACTCATTAGCATAACTCATTTGCATATGCCACACCCCCTGACATCACCGGAAGTGTGTCAGAAGGCAACACCTACCGCTCAGGCTCCACTGGACTGTAAGAACATAAGAACATAAGAGATGCCAATGTTGGATCAGGCCAAAGGCCCATCCAGTCCAACACTCTGTATCCCACAGTGGCCAGAAATACCAGGTGCCATCAGGAGGTCAACCAGGGGGGGGCGGGGGGGGCTCTGCAACTTACCTGGCTGCTTCTTGCTCTGACTGAGGGCTGCTGGGAGCAGGGGACGAGGCTTGATGCATGTGCCCGCCCCTTGGGCTCTTTACTGCCGGAGCTCCGCTCCCGTGCGCTCCTGCAGGAAATGACCCCTGCCTGTGCTGCTCTAACTCCCCCACAGTTCCATTATATCGTTCTGGTCCTGCTGGACACATTCCTATCTGTAGGAGGATGACACAGGACACTCTTGAAGAGTCCCTTGGACTGCAAGAAAATCAAATCAGTCAATCCTAAAAGAAATCAACCCTGACTTTTCCCTGGAAGGTCAGATAATGAAACTGAAGCTCAAATACTTTGGCCACCAAATGAGAAGGGAGCACTCACTGGAGAAGACCCTGATGTTGGGAAAGATTGAAGGTCAAAGAAGACGGGGACGGCAAAGGATGAGATGGTTAGACAGTGTCATAGATGCAACGAACATGAAATCGAGCCAACTTCAGAGGACGGCGGAAGACAGGAAGGCCTGGGGTGATCTGGTCCATGGGGTCACGAAGAGTCGGACTCGACTGTGCAACTGAACAACAACAAAGGCAGTGAAGGAATAACATAATCAAACCTAAGCTTTTCCAGCATAATTAAACATATAAAGACAAGCTTCCGGTTACCATTTCCGGGTTCAACAGAGGCCGTCTGTTTCAGCAAGACAAGGTGTTCACAACGTTAGCCAGTCCAGGCAAGAGTCAAATGGGAAGCCATTCAGGGTGCTCTGGGGCTGTTGACAGTGCCATGTCCACTCCATAGTGTGAACGCTATCTAGATTTATAGAGAAAGGGTCTCTGACCAGTCCTAGGTCTTTGAACCAATCCGATACCCAAGAGGTGATGTAACTCCCTATGTTGCTGGGCATGTGACCTGCCAGGATGGACAAGAGCAAGGGGGAGAGAAGCAAAACTCTGCAGCTAGGTCCGGCCCAACCCCCACATACAGGTGTCCATAATTGCAAGTGCTTGGAATGTGTGTTAATTTGGAACACCAGGATGGTTGATACTCCCTGACACCACAGCTGAAAACAATTTAGCTTAACAAGGTCACTGTGCTCTGAGCTATCGGGAAATTCCCGTAGGCCTCTTTGCACCCTGAACCAAAGATTTTACTTAACAGAACAAGGAACCATTTTTCTTTACAGGGAGAAAAGTACTTCTTTCTCCACCTGCTCTATCACATGCATAATCTTATAAACCTCGATCATGTCAACCCTCAGCTGTCATTTCTCCAAGCTAAATAGCCCCAAGACCTTTACCCTTTCTTCATATAGGGAAAGTGTTCCAACCCTTTGATCCGAGTTGCCCTTTTCTGCACTTTTCCCAATGCTAGAATATCCTTTTTGAGGTGTGGTGACCAGAACTGCACACAGTATTCCAAATGAGGTCGCACCATCGCACCACCATTTATACAGGGGCATTATGATACTGGCTGATTTGTTTTCAATTCCCTTCCTAATAATCCCCAGCATAGCGTTGGCCTTTTTTATTGCAGTCACACACTGTCTCGACATTCTCAGTGAGTTATCCACTACAACTCCAAGATCTCTCTCTCGGTCAGTCTCTGCCAGTTCGGACCCCATCAATGTGTATTTATATCCTCGACAGATCCCTTTGAAGTGCCTCACAATCCTCCCTTGTAGAAAAGTAACAGCTACCCCATCATCTCTTTGAGATGAGCCATCCCGAACCAGAGACTTTTCATCTCCTGTCGGCTTCCCCCCAATATTCAGTTTAAAAACTGCTCTGCCACCTTTTTGATTTTAAGCGCCAGCAGCCTGGTTCCTTCTCCGGACAAGTGGAGACCATCCCTTTTGTACAGTTCCCTCTTCTTCCAAAAAGCATTCCAGGGCCTAACAAACTTGAACTCTTCCCCCCTACACCATCGTCCCATCCACGCACTGAGACTCCTGAACTGTGCCTGTCTCTCCAGCCCTGCGCGTGGAATCTCATTACCACTTTTTCCCTTGAATTACATACATAGAGTTAGGGGAAAGGAGGGACACGCAGAGTATAAAAACAGCTCTACGGGAGGGCCCGGCAGGGATAAGGTGTGAGACCAGCGGCTCAGTTTGGGAGGAAAGAAGACCTGATAACAGAAATGTATACCCGTTCATGAGCAGAGCCCGACGGGTGGCCTGGCTTCTTGCAGGGGTGATGATTGATGCTGTTTCTTTATTCCAGGAGTAGACATAGAGGAGACAGCTGGAGAATTCCAGGGGTTCACTTTGGAAAAAGCCATGAGTGAAGAGGCCGAAGGACGCTACGGAGATGGACCACAGAGGCAGGAGGGAAGCCACGCAGGTAAGAGAAGCCCATTCCTTGCCGAGGAGGGGTTTTTGTGTGAAATCCCAGTCCAAGAAGAGGTCAGTCAAAAAGAGAAGGAACAAAGTCCTCCATCCTAATCAGAGAATCCACTCCAGGGAAAATGAAAATGGAAGCGTGGCCTTTGCAAAGACCTTCAGTCAGAGAATGCAAAGCATTTTGCAGGCGCAACGTTCCTTAGGAGAGAAACGGTATGATTGCTTGGAGTGCAGAAAGAGCTTCAGTTGGAAAAGAGCCCTTGCTTTACATCAAAGTAATCATGCAGATGGGGGGGGGGGCATCTAAATGGTCAGAGTCCAAACCAGGTGACTCCGATGCAGGAGGCTTAACGTACTTTTAAAGTGGTAGGTAGGTAGAATTTTATTGCATGAGGCCGAAGTCTGTAATAGTATAATCATAGCGGGCCAAGCAGTAGTAAATATTACAGTAAAAACACAACAAGGTTAAAAACAATATTAATACTGTCAGGATTAGGACATATCGTAGAATTCAACACGTTGAACATCAGGGCGATTTTGCACAGATCTTCTTGGTAGCCAGTGCATACAGCAACATCATGTAGGTGACATTATGCTCATCATCATTGAAGAGGGAGATGATTTTGTCTGCCGCTGAGTGTGAGGCTAACCTGGCTAAAATGGCTGCAAGGCACTTGGCCCTGGGAACCACATAAAGGTCACGAGACAGGACACAATGAAGGAGATCCTGCAATTCCAGGGCTCCACAGATACCTACTCGCTGAGCAACTGGTGTAGGCTGATAACGATATATATACACACAATTACTGTTGATTGTTGTTGGTTCCTTATGTATGTTACGCTGATAATGGCCAGCTACCATGGCGGTTGTCGTTTGTAATCTGAGGGCTGTAAAGGCTTCTCTAAATTTGTGGAAGGTGATGCTGGACAAACAAGAAACTCTGAGAGTCAATTTGGTGTAGTGGCTAGAAGTGTGGAATCTAATCTGGGAGAACCGGTTTTGATTCCTCACTCCTTCACATGTAGCTGCTGGGTGACCTTGGGTAAGTCATGGTTCTCTCAGAGTTGTTCTCTCAAGAGCAGCTCTAAAAGAGCTCTCTCAGTCCCACCTACCTCACAGGGTGCCTGTTGTGAGGAGGGGAAAGGAAAGGAGATTGTAAGTCACCCTGAGACTCCTTTGGGTAGTGAAGGGTGAGGTATAAATCCAATCTCTTCTTCTGTTGTGATCCCATTTGAGCAGTTTAAACCAGGGGGGGAAATCTGTAATTGGTAACAGTTCCCTTATTTAAGGCAGCATCTATATTGAACATCAGATCCCAAGTTTCGAACCCATCTAGAAAGAGGCCCTGGGGGTCAACAGCTATTGGGCAACAGCAGAAAAGCCTATGATAGCTAGCAACCCAAGAGGTTTCTGTCTGGAGCGGGATAAAACACTGCTTAGAAAGGTGACCTCAAGTAAGTAAGGCAGCATGGGCACGGGCCCTAATGAAAGACGAACCAAGTGTCTCTGACATAGGAGGCTTAATGTACGTTTAAAGTGTAAATTATTGTACACTTCAGTGTACATCAGCAAGAATATACTGAAATATTGAGAGGGTAGATGTAAATTTAGTGGCAGATCAGACCTCTTTGTATGGGTTCTAACAGCATAACTCCCTTTATTCCAGCAGGGAAGGATCAGAGGAATGAGGAGGATGAGGAACTGCGTCATCTATCGTCAGATGAAGTCAAGAATGAAGATGTGAGAGGAAACTTCAGGAGTCAAGGCAAACCTAAGAGACAGAGAGGCAGCCACATGGTCAAGAAGAGGGATAAACCCATTCCTTGCCAAGGGGAAAATTTCCATGAAGTAATTCACGTGGTGGAGGAAACATACAAGTGTCTGGAATGTGGAATGAGCTTCCCAGATCAAACCCAGTATAATGTCCATTTACGAGTGCACAGTGGAAACAAGACCCATCAAGGCCTGGAGGGTGGAAAGACCATGATTCACAGAGCAGAGCTCCTTAGACATCTAAGAGCAAATACAGGAGAGAAACCTTATAGCTGCTCAGTCTGTGGCAAGACCTTTTCAGAGAAATCAGACCTTGTTCAACACCAAAGGATTCACTCAGGAGAGAAGCTATTTATCTCCTCAGAGGCTGAAATGCCGGTCTCTGATGGAAGGACGCGTTATGTACACTTCTCAAAGCATAGTCTAATGAAGGCACATAAATGCTTTCAGTGTGGAAAGTACTTCAGATACAGATCACAGCTCTTCGTGCACCAAAGGATCCACACAGGGGAGAAGCCCTTTGAATGCTCAGAGTGCGGAATGAAATTCAGTAGGAGTGACAATCTTCACCAGCATCTAAAAATCCATACAGGTGAGAAGCCTTTTGAATGCTCATACTGTGGAAAGAGATTCAGTCTAAGTGGCTCTCTTCTAGAGCATCAAACAACCCACACAGGGGACAAACCTTTTCAATGCTTGCAGTGTGGAAAGAAATTCAGTCGAAGTGGCACCCTTCAACAGCATCAAAGAATCCACACAGGGGAGAAACCTTTTGAATGCATAGAGTGTAGAAAGCGATTCAGTTCTAGTAGCGATTTTCAAAAGCATATAAGAACCCATACAGGTGAGAAGCCTTTTGCATGCACAGAGTGTGGGAAGAGATTCAGTCAGCATGGCCATCTTCGACAGCATCAAAGAACCCACAAAGGGGAGAAGGCTTTTGAATGCTCAGAATGTGGGAAGAGATTCAGTCGAAGTGGCAATCTTCAACAGCATCAAAGAACCCACACAGGGGAGAAACCTTTTGAATGCTCCGAGTGTGCAAAGAGATTCAGTAGGAAAGACTCTCTTCAGAATCATCTAAGAACCCACACGGGGGAGAAGCCTTTTGAATGCTCAGAATGTGGGAAGAGATTCAGTCAGAGTGGTGCTCTTCAGCAGCATCAAAGAACCCACACAGGGGAGAAGCCCTTTCAATGCTCAGAGTGTGGGAAGAGATTTAGTCTCAGTGGCCATCTTCAACAGCATCAAAAATCCCACACAAAGGAGAAACCTTTTGAATGCTCAGAGTGTAGAAAGAGATTCAATCACAGTTGCGATCTTCAGAATCATCTAAGAACTCACACAGGGGAGAAGCCTTTTGAATGTTCCGAGTGTGGGAAGAGTTTTAGTCACAGTAGCACTCTTCACAAACATCTAAGAACCCACACGGGGGAGAAGCCATTTGAATGCTCAGTTTATACACCACCCTTCACTCGGAGTCTCAGAGCAGCTTACAAACTCCTTTCCCTTCCCCTCCCCACAACAGACACCCTGTGAGGTAGGTGGGGCTGAGAGAGCTCTGACAGAAACTGCTCATTTCAATAACACCTCTGACAGAACTATGGCTTGCCCAAGGTCATCCAGCCAGGTGCAAGTGGAGGAGTGGGGAATCAAACCCGGTTCTCCCAGATTAGAGTCCACGGACTTAACCACTACACCAAACTGGCTCACCAAGCCCAGCATGAGATGGATTGACTCAAATCAAGGTAGCCACGGCCCTCCGTTTGCAAGATCTGAGAATGGCTGCTAACAATAGGCTGTTTTGGAGGACATTAATTCATAAAGTTGCCATCAGTTGTAAGTGACTTGATGGTACTTAATACACACACAAGGGGGAGAAAAGAAGAGTCTGTACTACATACCGCAGAAGATGAAGAGAAGCCTTAACATCTGTCCTGAAACATCCTTCCCGCCCTTTAGAAGAAGAAGAAGAGATTGGATTTATACCCTGCCCTTCACTACCCAAAGGAGTCTCAGAGCGGCTTCCCCACAACAGACACCCCGTGAGGTAGGTGGGGCTGGGAAAGGTCACACCAGCAGCTGCATGTGGAGGAGTGGGGAATCAAACCTGGTTCTCCCAGATTAGCATCTGTGTTCCTAACCACTACACCAAACTGACTGTCAAGTTTGTTTTTGTGTTAAAAATAAAGATGGGCTTGCGCCTGTATTCTTCACTTCAACTGAAAATGTTTTAGTAGTACAGTAAGCTGCCTTGAGCCGCAAGGAAAATAAAATAAATCATCTATATATCTAATAGCGAAAGGTGC